AGGAGCGGCTGTAGAAGCCGGGGCTTCGGGCAGTCGGGACGAGAAGGGACGTGGTGTAATTCCAGTTTTGACAGAGCGTTACTCACATCCCTTTAAAACACTACGGAAATGTCACGCTTTGTTTCTCGGGTCGGTAGCCGGGTGCTGCGGTGCGCCGGCTCGGAAGTCTCACCTTGTCTCACGTACTGCCGGTGTGGCCTCTTTGGTAGAGATTGGCCTGAGTTCTGTTGTGCTTCTGAGTAGGAGCTCATGGAAGACGTGAATGTAGTCTTCTTGACTTGAAAGGAGCTACTAGAGCCTGTTCCTGTACTTAAATAACAGGGTTTGCTGGCGTAAGAAGTCTTTCCCTTGTTACGGTGCTGTCTGAGGCGACTACACTAACGCAGCACCTCGTTGTTTGCATGGTTCTGTGAATACAAACATGTCTGTGGCCGTCTGATACAGTGTAGTGAAAAACCTTCGACCAACACGTGGAGAATACTCTGCTGGTGATGAAATATGTGGTCTTGTGCACAGCAGCTGACATGGTTGATAGACAACAATAGCCTATACATTGCTATAACTCATGAACCCGAATCTCAAAAAATACACTGTGCAAACTGCATGACTTTTTCATTTTGGGGAAAATCCTGTTTGGGCTAGTCCTGCATTTTGAACTTTAGATTTAGTTGAAGTGTCAGTTTGATCTGATTATGTGGCATCCGGGTTTGTCTTCTAGCTTCTGTGCTTCTGTAGTCAGTTTACTCTGTAAATGAACACGGCAGATTTCCCCCATGGGACTGCTAAGGTGTTTACATCTGACACATGAGCATAACGATTCTTATGGCCACAGCTTATATCTGTGAATGCAGAAAGCTCCTTAAAGTTAAAAGCCTTATCATTTAGGTCCTGGAGGTGGAATGGTGTATGAGTTCAACCAGAAAATCTTTCCCCCTTCCCCCCTCTCTGTGTATGGAGAGACAAAAGATGTGAACTTTGAATAAGGTTTGAGGTTTTTTTTATGTAGGCTGGAACAGACTAAAAATCAACAGTCAAACTTGGCTTTGGAGGAAGAGCCTACTCTCACTGAAGTGGACTGTGCTTCCAGTGTCAGCTCAGCTATGAGCATTGATTAATAGTCTGCTCTAGTTTTGTTGCTCATCCATGGAAAGCATGGACTCAACAGTCACGCTCACAATAAGATTTTAACATCAGCAACACCCGGGGTATTCAAGTACAGTGCAACTGGGATTTCTGGATTAGTTCTTTTTTTCAGTAAAGCAGATTTGTATTCTTCTCTGTTACAAAGAGGAAAAGCTCTTCTTCCACTTCCTGCAAAAACTTCTGTGAGCGACAGCTGTAAAGCAATGTGAACATGACAGCTAGCTAGATCAGCTGCTTTTGGGGTGTCTTGCTGATCCTTCTCAAGTCCCTGCTAGTGGACAGAAGGAGCAGTATTTCAGCTGGTTTAAGCATGTGGTAGTCAGATGGGTGACTCATGTAACTTTTAAGAGGGTTTGACTATGGGACATAATGCATTGTATAGTAGAACATAATATAAAAAGTGTATATAAACTTTTAAAAAAAAAAAGTTGGTGTCACCAAAGCTTTGCTCTTCACACTAGCTGCCTCTAATTTGAGTCAAAGCAAATATTGAGAACTTACAGCTTCAGATGCAGATGAGTTTTAGGAGAGGTGTCTGCTAGGGAGCTTGGGTGGTTGAACCTTCAGCCTATGTTAGCTTTTTTTTTTATGAAAAACAACCAAACCACTAAACTATGTAGTAACTATTGGCAGACAGTTGATGACTGGGTTAATCCAGGTTCAAGGGTGACTTGATGTGTTGGAAATCATGTTTACAACTAAGGTCTACACCATCTGGCAGATTTAAATAAAGCTATCTTATCTGCTCTGAGAGTAGGAGACTCCTTTCACCACTGTCTGGCCAGTAGCCTCCATTTTGAGGCATTACCTGCTGCACTGGAGGCTTTCATTACCGGCCTTTTCTTTTACTTGTCCCTTGGAAACGGAAACCTGCTACCAATGTGTTTGTTGAATGCAGTATGTGTTTTTCTGCTGAAGGACAATACAAGCAAAATTAAAGCTTCCTTGTGCTCAGGGAGGTTGTAGTTAATTTTTTTTAAAAAACCCAACCAACCAAGTGGTCAGAAATTGCCCCAGTAAGGTGCTATCTGAAGAAAATATTGGTTAACAAAGCTATAAGACCCTCTACTGCTGTGACCAAATGGTCTAGTGGTGGGAGATTCCCCTTCTTGTTAACAAAGATGGCTTTGTTCTTACCTGGAAGCTTGTCACTTAACTGTTAACTCAGAAGACAACTGTGGAAGTCACCTGGGCTGGTCAGGTAGCTTGTTTTGACCCCACTGCTGCCTTCTGCTAGGGACATTAAGCTCTGTGGGAAGACTTCGAGTACATCTCGCTAGTTCAGTATTTTTTTAACTTAATAAGAGTAAGTGTCTTTGAACCCAGCATTTCTTTTCACTCTCATAGCAATTTAGTACTGTCTGGCTGGTACCAGAGATGACTCAGTGTAACACCTGATTGTAGTCAGGACCAGGTCTCTAATTGTGTATGTGTGTGACCAACCATATGTACCATGCCCTCCCACTTTCCCCTTGTTCAGTGCAATAGCAAACCTGAGTTCTGTGGCCATATGACAAACACATCCCAGGGCTGGACTTCCTTTTGCAGAACACAGTAGTTATGCAGCTGGACAGAAGATGTAAGGGTGATAAGAGGGCGGTCTAACTGGCAGATGCAGGGAGTGGAATTGTTAAAGAGCTTGTAATGTTACAGTGCAGAGGTGTGAGAAGCTACAACAGAAGCCAAGGTATTGGATTTGGAGGTGTGGAGGAGTGAGGCTTGACTGAGGAACTTGCAGTATAAGTAGCTGCAGGGAGCAGCTAGTGTGGATTGTTGTGTACTGGGACATTGAACTGTGTTGGTGGGAATGGGATACTCTTGGTACTGG